TTCCATGTCCCGACGGACTGAGTCGGGCCAGGTTTTGAGCTGACCATCTCTTCAACTTCTCGAATTGGGTAGCGGCTTCGGGTCGAGAGCAGTAACGCTGAACTCGTGAGGTTGACAACAAACAACGTGTCCAACCACCTCATTCGTCTATCTAGGATAGCCTGGGATATCCTTGCGATGTTGTTAATTGGTAAAGGGATGCAGTAAAATCTAGACTACAGCCTATAAATACCACAAGGCCCTGTGTATGAAGTATCCTTATATGATGCAGCCTCTGGTAATGCGTGCGAGCGTGAATCCGAAACTTCAGGCAAACGAACTTCATCTTTGCGCAATCGCGTCTACTTATCAGTTGGAATGATATCTGCCTGGCAGTGCTTGAACTTGCAGTTCATAGCAGAGATCTCCACCACTTGGGCTTTTTTTTCATCCCCTTCTGTTGCCAGCTCATTGTAAGTAATTTTTTCAAATTATGCATTTTAGCGGCGTAATAGGAAATTTGTACACTTATCTGCATCTCTCAAATGTGGAATCAATTACCTCGGAGGTGCGAATCCCGATGTACGCCGTCCTGACAACAGTTTGCGCGCTCGGATCTCTGGTTCTTCTACTGCTACCGCACCCTCGACAGGTTGCTGTTGAAATGAACATCTCAGGCGATCGCCCCGAGGATCCGACTGAGAGCTCCAACATACTGGAAGGCAGTGGAAACCAGCCGAGTGTATCATCACGTTCATTTGACAGTCCTGAGTAAGGATTTGCACTAACCAAATCGTCCTTGTAATTTTTCACCCCTACCCCTAAAATAGCAAGCCTCTCTATTCCCCGAGGGTAGAAACAACAACAGAAGTGGGTCGCAACTGGTGATGGTCATTTCGTTGCTGCTAGTGCTGACGGCTGTCGGAAGAAGCATCAGTAGTTGTGTTGTAGTTTTAGTTGACGCACCATCCTTCCTGTCCTTTAAAAGTGCCCTCTCTCGACTTTGTTGTTTTTGCCTTCGTTTTCCCCGTCATTCTGAATTTACTTTGTTCATACAGTTTCTCACGATCCCGCTTCTTCTTTTCCCCAGAGAGCCCATCAAAACCAGCCCATCGCGATATCCAACCATTAGAAGTATTATTGGTGAGAATTTTTGTGAAAAGTAATAATTAATTCACTAGTTTTCACCTTACCTATAAGCATGTACATAAATTTGGCCATTTGTTGAACTCCGAAAACTTACCTATTTAGCTCGCTCAATTGCCCTATCACGAACACCAACAATGTTAGCGATCCTCGCAGCGACAGCCTTTACTGGTGAGTATTTAACTCCTTTTTTTCTTTTATTGCTTTTCTTACTTCATGAATCTGCTACCTGCTTGCATTTTTTATGACCCGACTTAGTGCTTATAATTCGCACGGATGATTTCATTTGGTCATGCTCTGTCCAATCCGCTTGAGGAAAAAGTTTTAGAAGAAGCGAACCACTTCTTACAGACACGGATCAATCAAATCTGACGAGGCCTCTGTGGCCGCAGACAAGGCCGGACACTGTCCGGCGCACGTTCATAGCATACTGTAGCGGCCGAGGAAGCTAAGGTTGGCACACATACACACACAACAGTTCCCCCGTCGATTTCGTCGATGGGCAGCCGCGTGCTCCAACAAGCCGCAGTAAACGCTGACGCAAGCCG